CTCTCTCTCTCTCTGTCTGTCTCTCTCTCTCTCTCTCTCTCTCTAGAGAGGCATGGCGTGTGATTAACTTGTTCAATAATAACTTTGCCTATACATATGATTGCAAAATAGGTATAACAAAATAATAAATTAACTGCAATGGAACGAGCATCAAATAGCAAACATTTCTTCCCTCATGCAAATTTCTGCAAGCACACATGATGTTTTTTTTTTTTTTTTGAGAGTGCAAACATGTCAGCGGCCGTTGCTTCCATGCAACCACGTTAAGAAGCTGCGGCTGTAATGAGAACTTTCACAATAACATGGAGATATATGAAAACAACTTACTGTTCTGCATCATTGAGGCTACGCCAGACTCCCACGTGGCTTGGTTGTGGTATTCTAAGCATCACAAGGAGATAACAAATCTGGTTAGCATCAGATTAGTTAGGAATTTCCTATAAACATGTTCATTTCACTTGTTTTTATACGTTCTAGATTTTTTTTTCTTTTAAGGATTTTAAAAAAAATGTTCCCATTTCTTTTGTCGATTTGAATTTGGCAGCTGCCTTTTCTTGTTCTCTTTTATCTGTTTTTCTTTTCTTTTTCTTTTTTTTTTTACAAATACAGATGCAAAAGTAATGTATATATAAATATTTTTTTACATCCTAAGTGCATGTTTATATTTATATATTCATATATGTGGATTTTAATTAAACTTGCCTGGAAACAGAGTTGACTGTCCACTCTATAACAATTTAGTCAATCATCTGCCGCTTTCACTACTTAATGTCTCCCTATAGGACAGAGCAGAACAACACATTAGCACAGCAGCAGCTACACTGATCTGCTCAAACCTAACAGTCTACATTCCCCCCTCTCCTTCTTTCTCTCTCTCTCTCTTTCTCTCTCCCTCTCTCTTTCTCTCTCCCCCTCCCCAACTTTATTTACAATTAATCTAAATCCGGTTGCCAAGCAAATGACTTATAATTGACGTGAGACAACATACATGTCAGCACCTGTCAAAATAAACTCAAACTAACCACCAGTGGGCCTATAACTCTTTTTACAGCACTTTTCCTTTCAGTGCTTTTATTTTGTGGGGCTTTAAACAAAGAAATCAGCTCTCATCGTCCCAGCAAGAGGCCTTTAAACATCCACCACCCACCATCCCCACCTCCCTTAAAAAAAAAAAAGAAAAAAAGACTTGATGTAGGAACTGTACAGTGACACACGTTGCCTACTTCGCCTCATTGCTTTGCAAAAGTACAGAGCAGGAGGGGGTACAGAGCTGGTGTACAAAGCCTGCTGGTCTACCCCAACAATGCTGCGTCCCCTCCTCTCTGCGTATACCTCCAACTCCGGGGTGAAAACTCGGCCTTCGCGACTAGAAACACGCAACTAAAACACACCAACAAGTTCAGATTAATACAAAGAGCCGGAGGCATGAATCCACCCCCTCCGGGAGCATTCACACACACACACACACACACACACGGCCGTGACCCCGCTGCCGCTGTTGCGTCAATGCTGGTTTTGTTTGCCCTGCTCTCATAGATGAGGGTGGGGAGATATAAATGTTTTGTTTTGTTTTTGTCCAAAAAAGTAATTTCTCGTTATAAATATTTGGTGGTTGTTCGGTGCTGCTGGTGCGGGTTGTAAAGCGGTTTTTTAACGACACAACAGCGCAGTGGGGCGCTCAATTGGAAAAGACAAATGCCGTAAAGAAGCTATTGAAAAAGAGAGAGGGGGGAAACAGATAAAAAAAAGGGGGCCAGGCCAGGGAGAAGTCTGAAGTTTTCATTTTCTCCCTCCATGTGGAGCTGTGTTGTGTGCAAAGAGAAAGGAGGAAAATGGGGGGCGGGGGAAGGAGGCTCCATAGTCCTTGTCTCTCATAGACATGCGTGTATAGGCCGAGACTAGATTGGGAAGACGCAAGCAGGGGCCACCATTACTTTTAGATTATAACGTGTTTTAACAAATAAGCTGTTCGGTCATTAATCAAATTCAAATTCCTTCACATTGACCCACATTACTCATCAGTCAGCAGCTAAATCTGAAAACATAAAATGTACATGACGCAACTAACAATTCAATATGTGCTCATTTAAAGTTAGTGCTTTGCATCCAGACAGTATAAATAAAATGGTTTCATTGAGGTTTTTTTTAGTTTTTTTTATCGCCCTATAAATGCGCTTGCTGTTAGTCTGTAGCTTTCAGGCTTCCTATAAAGGCCCGAGTGGTTAATCATTTATTTAGGGTCGAAAGCTCAAACGTTGTTGTTCCTGGGGGTTAACTAGGACCTAATCTGCATTTCTTTCCCTGTCGTAATCCGGAACAACAATGTCTTAATTCAGCATGCGTTATTCTGGCGGCTGGACGCTACGCTCACAACATTCTCATGCACAACCGGTCCATGTAAGGCCCAAACTCAGGCCGAACATGCAGAAGAAAATACAGCATATATATATTTTTGGTGTTGTTACAATAACTATATCTGCTGCTACTAATGCATTAATTAGAGAAATAGTCACATGTTACGTTTCATGTATATATATATATTTTATTATTTAAAAATATGTTCCAGGTTTTTATGTCATGGCTTAATTTATTTTATAATCAAAAACGTATTACTAAATTAAATCAAAATACTTTAAAAAAAAAATCAATTCTTATGTTTTAAGAAACTCGCTTGAAAGCAGCAGCAGTTCCACGTTTTCTATTTTAGATGGCTAAAATTATATCTTAAGGATTTATTTAATGGTGATTATTTTGTGAGCTCTTATAAGAGACACTCTATGTAACCTAGCTCCTAAAATAATGAAAATCACATAACAATATTTTTAAATAAATACAGAAAGTTCCAATTGCTTACAGGTCACAAGAAGAGCACCTAAGGATGGGGAGTGTTTTGTAAGTTTTTTTTTTTTTTTTCATTTGGAACACAAACAAACCAACCCTCCTCTTGAGTATATGATGTTTTTATTACTTTGTTTTATTTTATTTCTTTAATTTATTTGTAATTTTAAAGAAGGCGCTTTTATGACTCGCCTGCATGAATCAATCTGACACCTTTCCTCAACGGGTCATTGCGCTCCACTCCCCAAGGCGATCACTGACTGTAGTTGATTGTTATTTTTTGTTTGTTTGTTTTTAAATTATTTTTTTAAAATTGTATTTATTTTTCTTCTCCCGTCTCATGTGCTGACATACATAAGCGGTAAGCTATCCATGGACTTAAACACAACAACAGAATGACGGAAATAATGTGGAGCGTATAAAATATGACAGCAGCGCTGAAGGCGACTTGGACTTTTTGAAAGAGTCCAAACAGAAGACAGCGCGGTACCACTAATCCTCAAGCCAAAACTGGAAATATACTACTTTATTAATAATAATAATAATAATAATAATAATAATAATAATAATAATAATAATAATGGAGAAACTTATAGTCAAAATCTCACCTTTTTGGGGCATCCTCCGTCCTTTTTAAACTATAGGCTGTAGAGCCCCGCTCTCCACACCAAAATAATAGGAGGTGGGGGTTGGAGGGGGGGGGAGGGAGAAAAAGAGCAAAAAGCCAAAAAGCCGACCAGGATTTAAGTGTCTCGCTCTCCCCCGGAACTTTTGAAGAGGAAAAATTAGTTTCCAGTGGTCTTCGGCGGAGACGGAGGGGATATCCCTGCGAAGGAGACAGAGATTGACAGTGAACTCAGATGTCAGAACGCACGGAGTTTGGCGCTGGATGTGCGCTGGCGTGTGAGAGAGCGAATGAGAGAGTCGGGATGAGGGAGAGTGGGGAAGAGAGAGACGAGGGGAGGGGGGGGGGGGGGGGGGGGGGGGGGGGGGGCACAGAGAGAGAGGGAGAGAGAGCGATGGTGGAAAGGAGGTGGGGGTAAAGAGAATGAACACACCTATGCTGATTGGTGATGGAACAAGTGTATTAATGTTATGTGTTCCTGGTCGGCTGTGTGCGCCTCTCCTCTCCTCTCCTCCCTCCGCCGCTCTTCACTGGCCCATTAGCGCGACCCGACCTCTGTCATCATCCCCCATATAAACACTTTCCCCCCTGCACCACAGCTAAAGCGGGAAACAGGACTGAGCCACAGCGACGGAGAAGCAGAAGAAGAAGAAGAAGAAGAAGAAGAAGAAGAAGAAGAAGAAGAAGAAGAAGACGAAAGGACGAAGGAGAAGAAGAAAAGCAAAAGGGGGGCAGAGAGAAAGTCTCGAGTCTTTCCCAACCCACTCAGTTCTGCAGCCCACGGACGCAAATGCACCCTGTGCCCACTTGCTGCAAATAAGCAGCTGCAAAGACAAAACAAAAAAATAGAAAAGAAAAAAAAAAGAAAAAGAAAAAAAAACGTCTATTCCTCTTCCAGGGAATCTAAGGCATGCTCTGCTCCAACCTGAGGCTTGACGGTGCTGCAAAGAGGTGGGAGGGGAAGAAGTGGACAAATGGGGGAGGAACTGGCGGAACCCACGGCAGTGGAGCAGCGCACACGTGAATGTTGGAACTCGTAGCACCGAATTAAGACCACAAAGAGCAGCATCGTGCCTTTTCCTAACAGAGCCGATGCGATTTATGTTACGGAGACCCATGCATATTGTTTTTTTGTTGTTTTTTTTGCGGATGTTGCTCACAAACCGTAACAACTGTAGTTTTCTTAGAGTTCACTCTGTCCGCTGCTCTGTAATAAAATCCTGCACCTGCTCCTTCTAGAATAAAATAAAACGTAATTGTTAAAAGGTTTTAGAACCATCACTCACTGGCAAAAAACAAAAAACTAAACCTATCTTAAATCGAAATGTTGTAAGTTAAAAACTCACAGCCCTGACTCCAGAAAAAAAAAAAAATCCTCACCACGTGCTTTTGTTTATTCTTTTTGAGCATCACCGTCTCCCCTCCCGAACAGCCATACCCCTCCTGTCAACAAGGAGCGCCATGCGTAAAGAGCGCGGCCCTTTAGGCAAGCTCGGCTGCATTTTATGGGGAGGTGGGGTGGCGGTGTTGAAGGGAGAGAGGGTGGATGGGGTCGGGGGGGGGGGGGTATTTGCGACGTCACTCCCGCTTCCTGACAGCGAAGAGCACGCGCGTAAATAAAGTAAAGCAAATGACTGCGTAGCCATGGCCACACGCTCCCCGTAACCGGCTGAATGACTGGACCATTACCGCACACCTCAGCGCACCCAAAAGCAACCCCTCTGCGCCATGTGTCCGAGCGTAAACTCTGAGCTCTCTGGGAGGAAGGAAGGCACCCCAGAAAAAAAAGAGGAGTAGGAGGGGGGGGAGAGAGAGAGAGACAGAGAGAGAAGTGAGGTTTGTGTGCATGCTGAAGTCAAAACTAAAGCAAAAAAAAAAAAAAAAAAAAAAAGAGGGCACCTCAGAGAGGGCCAAATGACGAGAGGGGAAGAGCATAAAAAGGGGGAGGGGGAGGAAATTTTTCTCTGCTTTTTTTTTCCTCTCTTTTTTTTTTAGGGATGGGGAGCCACGAAATGAAGTCATGGGGGCCTACACTTGACTTTCTTTGACATGTGAAAAAGTAGGAGAAGTCAAAGCTCATCAATAAAACACTTTGGAGGTGAAAGAGGACTCCCTAACAACCATTGCATTCCTGACTGCGGGTTCAATGAGTAGACAAACGACGCTGCCAGAGAGAGAGAGAGAGAGAGAGAGAGAAACAGGGAGGGAAGGGAAGGAGGTGAGGGTCTGCCCGGCTTGAATGGGGCCCTCAGTGGGCCGGCGAGATAATGAGCTGAGAAGACCGACTCAAACTGTCACCGAGGGTCCCGTGGTGAGGAACAACACTCTGGCCAGCGCTCCCTCATCAAACAACCCGTAAACTAAACGAGCACATTCATCTGTTTCTCCTTGCTGCTTTGTTTCTACTTACTCAGACTGGTGGTTCAGCCGATGGGCCCGCCGTGAATGCTCGCAGCTTATATCATCTAACGAGGGGGTGGAGGGATCGTGGGGGGTTCCCTAACATTTTTACGTCAGTGACCCCTCCTATTAGACATGCATTAGACCAAAAACACCCCCTCACACACTTTGTCTCACACACACACACACAACACCGTCTCTCCCTCACCTCTTCCTTCTCCTAGTCAGGAGTTTGTGCCATTAGGGGGACCTCGACTTGGTTCCAAATTAAACTGTAGGAGGAGCTAAAGATTCACTCAGCTATACTGCTTTGAATAATTTACAGTTTCCAAGAGTTTGGATGTATTAAAGTAAGACTGATGCTAAAAGGGCCAAAGAAAGTTCTCTATATCCGCAGTGTTGTTCTCGAAAGAGAGAGCTCCAGGAGAACTGTGAGGACGGTTAGAAAGTTTCTTTTTTCTTTTTCTTTTTTTTTTTTTTAAATCCAGGAACCGTTTTAAAGTCTCCAAATTTGTCTGTTTTAGAGGGTCGCAGAAATATATGGGGGGTTATTTTTCTGCAAAACTCTCTACAAATGCACACTTTTGTTGTGCTAACTGTATAGTGCCACTCACGCACTACTTTTAAATCACTTGTCACAGTCTGCAGCTGTCAAACAAAACAAAACAGAAGAGAACAGAATTCACGCCACTAACCTGGCTGCCTTCGCCTGACAGACAGATTCCCCGGTGAGAGTGTCAAGTAGTTTTCTTTGGAAACAATGCCTCCAGTAGGTTATTGGTTTCTTTTTTTTGGTTAAGCTGTAAATCCGCTCTAAGAGCTAATTCGTTGTCTCTCCACTCTCAAGAGGTTTCTGTAATCTTTTCTTTTCTTTTCTTTTTTTCTCAAAATCTTCCCAGATACATCAATCTGTGTCAAGCCTAGTGGGAATAAAGAAATATATATATATATATATATATATATATATATATATATATATATATATATATATATATAT